AAGAAGTTGTTTTCTTTTCCACAACTTTACAATCATATTTTTAAAAAGTTGTTGTCACCCCAAATAGATCTTTAGTTGATTTATTATTCAAACTTGGCAAGACCTTTAGTTGATTTATTATTCAAACTTGGCAAGACGTTGAAAGAAGATGATGGGTGTAAGCAAAAGTTTGGCCACATTGGACATGTGGAGATCATCTTGGGTAATAGAGTTGCTGTTGATTAATGACTTATTTGTACTTTTGGTGGCTTGTTAGAAACATGATGATTTGATGTATTATTGTAGCTATACATGGCATATGTTGTCATTTATGGGCTGTGATCGATGTTATGCTGAATAGTCATGCGAATGAAATGTGCCCAGGATAGATAATGATTCAAACATAAATTTGTGCGTACTTATTACAAGAAGTTTTTGGGCACTGTCCCAAACAGGCTAATGTTGGTCTTCCTTGGTTTTAAATTCCTGAATTTATAAACCAAATTATTTTAGTTTGAGAGCCTATAACTTGAACTAAGCGTTATGATCTTGTTGAATGTTGTCTTTCTTTTACTTAATTGTTAATTTAATTTTTTTTAATTTAATTTCCTTTTAAGGATTATTAACTACAGTTCAGTTCTTCATTTATTTCTTTATTTATTTAATGGCGGAGCCTGGACAGAAGTGTTCGCAATTGCTTTAGTTTCGCTTTATTTCAAATTCCAATATTAAGTTTTCTGAGATCTCTATCATTCAGATTATCGATTAATACAGGCATTCATTCCATTTGCACATTGGTTGTAGGAACGCGAGGGAAACCACACCTGCCAGTCTAATAAGGAATTTAGAGGAGATAGGGACTCCTGGTTCTTCAACAAGGCCTTCCAACTCGACAAACACCAACCGTAGGAGCTCAGTTCATGGGAACATCCCAACCACCATGGAGATGGAAGAGTTTTTTAGAGGAGTGGAGCAATCACAGCTGAAATTGTTTATAGAGAAGTATATACAAAAAACCATAAGTTAGATTTAAGTACTGATGGGGGTTGCATGGGTCTCTTGGCTTGCTTATAATGATTAGTAGCTTTTGATATATTTTGCTCGTCTTCTTTCTATAAAAAAAAAATTTATTTATTATTATTTTATCTTTTTCTCAATTCCTAGGTACAACTATGATCCCGTGAATGACTGTCCCCTCCCCGGTCGCTATGAATGGGTGAAGCTCGAGCAGCAAGCATCCAAAGGAACATTCAGGCGCAGAACTTGAAGTTGTGATGTCTAACACTTGTTTCTTTTGTGAGTAGTGCTGATAAGATGATGATTTATTGCAGATAAGGTAAAGAAAAACACAAGTTAACCCAAACAGTGTTGTTCTAATAGATAGCTTAAGATGGTTGTTCGGTTTCTTAGCTCATCACCTTTTGCCTCCGGAATATGATGGGGGTGTCGCTATCAAGTACAAGTCCCAGGCACCTTGTATTTTGTGTATAAAGCTTCTGATTGCAAGAAAAAGTTATGTATTAATAAATTGCCCATTTAACCTCTTTTTCATCAATCTTCAGAGAATCTTTTTCTTTAAGATGATGATTGTTTGTATGCGTTCTTGTCTTTGATGTTCTTCAATATAAATGCAGTTGTATTATTTTTGGGTTGGGGAGTGGCACTTACATATCGCATAATTCTTATCTATTTATTCATCTAACACGTAAACATTTATATTTACATGTATACCACCCAAATTTTTTAACATCGCATAAAAATATTACCTCAGTATCTTTTAAAAGTGAATATACCTTTTTCTTTCATAGGTTTTGATACCAAAGTGTTATAAGTATAAATATTAGTTTTTGGATGTTAGATATGTAAATAAATAAAAATTGTGCTGTGTATGTGTTTTTTTTATTGTAGCGCTTTTTTCAGCCAAAACCCAGAAAAACTCATTGAGTTGGCTGCCATCACGAATATGTTATTAGAAGTTAGAATATATTATTAAAAGTTACTCGAATGTCTTTTTTCATTTTTCCTTAGTTGCTGAAAAAAATAAGTTCTTTAGGCATGCCAAACAATTCTTATGCATTTCCATATCTAAAGCCTAAATCTAATTTATATATATTTATATATATAGTATTTTATCTTTGTCTAAAATGGTGTATTTCAAAATTTAGAAGTTAGGTATTGTAATATTTTTTAATTTGATATGAAATTTTGAGTGTTATAAATGTAAAAATTAAACTTTAGCTGTTAGATATATAAATTCATAAAAATTGTGTGGTATGTATGTAAATGTCCGGGAAAAAAAAATCTTAGTGATTGGCGGCTGTCACGCCCACGTTTGTAAATATGCAATTTTAAGTTAAAACATTTAGAACTTTTTGGGCTACGACTCGGCAATTTTTATCGGTGGTCTCTTTATATTGAGAGCATATTTTGTTAAAAAAATGTGTTTTTTAATTACCGTAAAATTATTTAGATCCATCCTTTGATTAAAATTAAAAATCAAGTTAATTTATGAATCCTCAAATCCCCTTAAATTTATCAAATGTAATGCTTCTGGCTTGATGCACAAAATAGGTACAATTGAAATTGTCATTTTTGTTCATATATTTTTTTTATTATTATTTATAAGCAACATAATGAATTCTTAAACTTTATTAATCTGTGAAAAATTATCCTCATGGTTCATTTCGGTTTACTCTAAGGTTTTAATTATTATTATTATTATTACTACTATTATTTCATTTATCATGTTAACCGATGCCATCTTGTTGCATGAAATCCATCTTTGTTTCTTAGCTAGTCTTGGACTAAGTTAACATAATGGATAAAGCGGGTCTCTTGCTTTCCTACCTCTCACATAGGGTGAAGTTTTTAGAAATTTTAGTTTTCAAATAATATTTAATAGGAAGATTTCTATACATATCTCACTCAGTTCCTATGTATCTACATATCTAAAACATAAACTTCAATTTTAACATACACAAAGTAAAAATTCAATTCATACAAGAGCAAAATCAAGGCACCAAGTAGGATTTATTTTAATCTTTTATTTTTAAAATAAGATAATAGGTAGCAATGACCTCCATGTCACCCATGAAATCCTAGACATCTTCATTTGTTAACTTGTATTGGACTAAGATGTCCTAATGTGGGTTTGAGAATTTTTATTTTTCACATAAGAAAAATATTGCGTGGTTGATTCATACATGCAGATAAGTGTATTCAGGATGTACATAAGAGTGTATTCAGGTTGTACTCAAGATGTATACTTCTAATGCACACGTATGGATGACCGTACATAGGGTTCATTTTTTAGAAATGTTGTGTTTCAAATATTACTTTATAGGAAGATTTACATTCATATCACTCAATTCCTATGTATTTATATATCTAGTTAAAACCTAATCTTCAATTTTTACTACAACAAAATAAAATTTTAATTTAGAAAATAGTAAAATCATGATATGAAGTAGGATTTATTCTAATTTTCAGTTTTTAAGCATGGTGGTACGTAAAGGTTTAAGTCTTTTCCCTTTCAATAGCGGAGCCGATAGCGTTCTTGGAGCGTTTCTAGAGTTGTCTGAGAGGCCTTCTCTGGTTTAGTTGGCTGGGTTTTGTTGTGTGTTCTTCGGATTTCCTTTTTCTGGGTTCCTTAATGGCTTCTACTAGTCGTTTGAATGCGCCTTCATATAGGGATATCATTTCTGGTAATATTTCTGATTTATCTAATGTTCTATTTCTAGCCTCTTTCAAAGATCTTCTTGAAGAGAATGCTCCGAATGAACTATTTAAGAAGGCGTATAAAAAGAATGGTAAACCTGTCATTATTTTTCATGAAAATGAAACTAATTTTCTTATCGAACCGCTGAAATTTACGTTGGTTGGTAAATTTGCCTTAGCCCATCCTCGTTTGGAAGTGAGTCAAAAGTTCTTTTCTGAGCTGAAGCTTGTTCGTTAATGGAGTTTAGGTTTAATAGATGGCGCAATCTTATGATTAAGCTACAAGAAGAAGTGGATTACACTTCTTTATTTTCTAGGAAATTCTTACTATTGATAAATGCTATATGAAATTACTTAAATGGACTTCAGATTTTAACCCTTCAAAGGAACCCTCTTTTTATTCCTATTTAGATTAGGTTTCCTAGGCTCAAGCTCCATTTGTTTAATCCTCAAGTTTTATTTTCTTTAGGATCTACTTTTGGCCATCCATTAAAGATGGATAGTTTAACCCTCCATTGTACTAGACCTTCTTTGGCTAGGATTCTAGTCGTAAGAGATGTAATTGGTCATTTTCCTAACTCTATTTGGATTGGAGATGTTGAAATGGAATTTGTTCCTCATTACTTTTCCAAGAACAGAATGTTGGTCATATTCTTTCCTCTTATTAAAATGCTCATCCTAAATTGCGGCCTATTAAATATATTGGGGCAGATGGCTAAGAGTAAGGAAGTTCTTGATATTGCTTGAGTCAGTAATTGTGATAATACTGATGGATAAAAATTACCTAATGATATAGGTACTATTACTTCTCCTTATGATAAAATAACTTCAAATATTCTTATTAATGTTAATAAGAATTTTGATCTTAAAGTTGAGTTTGTTTCTTCTAAAGATGATGCTATTCCTGATATTAATAATGATTCTAAGCAACCTGGTTTACATGCTAATGTTGAATTACTTCATGTTAATAATCTAATTGATTATGCTAAAGATTCAGTTGTTGATGACAGTCTAGTTCTAACTAGGCTGGAATTTGAAGAGGATTAATCGTCTACAAGATCTTCAAGAAAAAGAAAATTAAAAGTTTTAGTTATATTAATCTAGAGGCTCTCAATAATTTGAGGTTGGGTAAGGAAGATGTGGACCTTGCTTCTTCTTCTAGGCTCACTAGGGAAAAATCTAGTATTGATGATGTTTAACACTCTGATCAGGAATATCAGAGGCATAGCTAAACATATTGCTTCTTTGAGATTAAAAAGTTTGGTTCATACTTATAATTTGCATTATTTTTGTATTTTGGAATCGCTGGTTGCTGTTAAGAATAATTCTAAATTTATAAGAAGGGTTGGTTCTCTTAAGACCTTAGCCAATCTTAATAACAAGATTTAGCTTTTTGGAAGGACTTCATCAGGATTGATATACTAATCAATCATAATCAGCTTTTACATGTTCGTATTCATGCTAATAATGATTCTTTTCTTTTCTCGGTCATTTATGCTGGCTGCTCTAAACATGCTCGTTTAGAGCTCTGAAATCTGGTTACTAGCATTAATCCTCACAATGAGTCGTGGCTTTTTGGGGGGAGTCTTTAATTTGATATCATTTTCTTTAGAGAAGAAAGGAGGTTCTACAATTAATCTTAATCTTATTTCATTTTTTAATAATGTTATTATGGATGCTGGTCTTTTTTATATGGGGTTTCATGGAAATCCTTTTACTTGACATAGAGGTTCTATTTTTTAAAGACTGGGCAAATATTTTGCTAATGCAAATTGGGCTAATATCATTGTTCACTATGAGATTATTCATTTGGCTATTGTTGCTTCTGATCATGCCTCTGTTCTTCTTAAAACTAGAGATTTTTTCAATAAGATTCCTTTTCATTTTTGTTTCTATAATATATGGATTCTTCATGATAATTCAAAGCAATTCTTTAAAGATAATTGGTTACAAAAATCAAGCCTAGATAGATCCGACACAAACTCTAGGCTAGCCAACTTAGACACAAGAACCAAAGATCATACACATATCCTAGGTTAGTCAAAATAAAGAAACCAAAGTTAGTCTAATATGTGTCTTAGTTAGTGCTAAGTACTAGTACATATAAAATAAAAAACCTAACCCCTTAGACTAAAGAGAAAGCCCTAGTATGAGTAACCCATGGTTACCAATAAATGCATTTCAAACCGCCTGAATACTAAAGAACCCTCCACATGCTATGATCACGGCACTCAGGGAAGATTTCTGGTTATATGGTTGATTATAGTTGAAGGATACCAACATACCCAAGATAACAAAATGCCACAAGCATCCTGATTGAGAGCGTTATTATTAAAATCTAGGCTTTACCACATATTAAGATTCCTTATAGAGTCTAGGGTTTCACTTCCATCTAGAAATACTTCCCATCTAACCCTATTTTTCAAACTCCAATAACTTCAAAATAGCCAAACTAATCATTCTTAATCTCATTTTCTTAACATTGCCTGATCAAATCAGAACAACTACCATTCTTTTCCAAACTCTTCAACCATCATCTTTTGGTTAAAACCTTCTTCTCTGATGATTAAACCCTTTTGTAGGGGCCTTTTCATGACACACGATTATCAGATTGTAAGACTTATCCTTTTGGGCTTAATTCTTCTAAAATCACATCCCTATGGAACCTTCCTTCACCTCCGAAGCCCCAACTTTTAAAGTCCTACATTCAAATCTAGATAACATAGGTCATTATTATAATCGAGAGTTTTCTTTAGTTCTAACAGCACTGGAAATATAATTACATATGAGGGCTTGCCCTTCTAGGGAATCTAATCCCAGAATAAAATAAACCTGGTTTCGTAGACTTATGAATGTCTTCATCTTTTGGATGATTATGCCTATTTTAAGGTAGTA